GGGATAATAATAGTACCTCCTTCCTTGCCACGATGGCTGCGGGCCAGGAGGGAGGAAGGAAAACAGTTTGCTCAGGGCAGGGGCTTCTCCCTGCCCTCTCGCTTCCCCGTCTGCGGGCTGCCTGAGGCGGAGGAATTTTGCAGGGAAGAGTGAGGGGGGTAAGAGGAGGCGTAGTGGGGACGGAGGCACATGTGGAGAGCCCTGAGTGGTTGACAACAGACAGCTCTCTGGAAGTCTGGACCCGCGGCCTGCATTCAGCATTTAGCACCCGAGGTTAAAATAAACCCAGGCGGACGATAGCGTGGGGGCAAAGCCATGGGGAAAACCACAGGCTCTGGAGTCGGAGGGATCTGCCTTAAAATCTTGGGTGCCTCTGGGACTCCAGATCCTAAACTGCCGATGGGCCAGCCCTTCCCCGGGCCCCAGGCCGTGGTGTGTTAGAACGGGAGTGTGCACAGGGCGTGCTGGGGGTGGCGGCCTGAGCCACCTTCCCGGTGAGAAACGGGGGCCCATTGGGTGGATAACCGGCTCCTGGGAGGTGGTGAGGGGGGCAGAGGCATGGAGCCGTGACCTGAGCATGTGCTAGGCGGCCCTGAGGCTCCCCGCTGAGGCCCCCTGGGCCCCTTCCTTGCTCCAGCCTCTGGGGACAGCACTTTACAGCTGGCAACGCATTTTCATGCCCTTGGTTTCAGGGGCCCCATTTTTGTAGGCGTAGAAAGTGAGGGGTGGCCGAAGCCAGTTTGGCTCAGTGGATAGGGCGTCGGCCTGCAGACTGAAGGGTCCCGGGTTCGATTCTGATCAAGGGCATGTATCTTGGTTGCGGGTACATCACCATTGGGGAGTGTGCAGGAGGCAGCTGATCAATGATTCTCTCATCATTGATGTTTCTATCTCTCTCTTCCTTTCCCTTACTCTCGACAGACAATAAAAATATATTAAAAAAAGAAAGAAAGAAAGTGAGGGGTAGAGTGAGGGGCCAGGGTCACTCTCAGATGCTGCTCTCCCTCTGTCCCTTCCTCCATGCCAGCCCCTCCTCCAAGTCCAAGCCACTGGGCCCTTGCGCTGACTGTGCCTGCTGCCTGGAGCATTGTCCCACCTGCCCTCCCCGGGCCTGCTTCTGCCATCCTCCAGTTCAAAGGTGCCCTGCTCACCGAGCCTCTCCCTTGCCTGTCTGGAGTCTGACCACCTGGGTTCAAGTCCCAGCTTGCTCCTCTCTAGCTGTGTTACCCGGAGCATGATGCACAGCCTCTCTGTGCCTCTCTCCATCCTGTCAGTGGAATAGTAGCTCACCACATGATAGGTTGAATGAGTTAATAGTGCAGAGTGCTTAGCCCTAGCCTGCAGACTGAAGGGTCCCAAGTTCAATTCCAGTCAAGGGCATATATCTTGAGAAGTGTGTAGGAGGCACCTGATCGATGTTTCTAACTCTCTCTCCCTCTCCCTTCCTCTCTGTAAAAAATCAGTAATATATATATATATATTACTGATTTTTTACAGAGAGGAAGGGAGAGAGATAGAGAGCTAGAAACATGGATGAGAGAGAAACATTGACCAGCTACCTCTTGAACACCCCTTACTGGGGATGTGCCCGCAACCAACGTACATGCCCTTGATTGGAATCGAACCTGGGACCTTTCAGTCCATAGACCGTTGCTCTACCGCTGAGTCAAACCGGTTTTGGCTAAAATATATTTTTAAAAAATAGCGCAGAGTGCTTTGAACTGTGCCAAGCTCACACTAAGCACCCAATAACTGTAGGCTCTTGGTCACTCTTCTTATCACGGCTCCATCGCTACCGCTCTTGCCACTAGTTTCATGAATGGAACTGCGTGCATCTTGGTCACTACTGTGTCCTCAGGGCCCGGCGTGGGGCCTGGTACATGGCAGGCACTCAATTAAAGAAGCAGCAAGTATGAGACGAGCCTCTCTCCACCCCTAGACCTGAACGAAAGCACTGAGACTCAGACCTGCCCAGGACCTTACCTGGACGGGACTGGGTTGCCTGCAGGGGGCCACTGGGACTCCAGGATCTTCTTTTTGAATTCCTCCAGGCTCACTGGGTCTGCGGAGAGAGGGTGTTAGGCCCAACCTGTGGCCTTAGTAGCCCCTTCCCCTGGGCTAGAAATAGGTGGCAGCTCCCCTTTTTGGCTCTGCCCTCACTCACCGATAGGCTGGGGGTTGGGGGCAGGGGCCACAGGTCTTGGCATAGACATCGGCAGCGACTGTGAGAAGAAAGATAGAGGGAGGTTGGCGGAAGCCGGGACCCCTGAACCAGAGTGCCAAGGAGATTCCCCCTCCTTGCCCTTGGCTCTGAGGTCCTTCAGGGTGGAGAGAGGGACAGGTACACATGTGCTAATGCGGTATCATCGTCACCTTTGTCCACCTGTCCTCAAATGACTGGGGATTCCAGGGACTGGATTGGCTTAGAGCTCCCGGAAACCACTCTACAGGGCTGGCCTGCCTCAGTCTCCATTCCAGCCTCAGGGCCAGCCTGACCCCAATCCATGACCCCGAGTCCATCACCCAACCCAGCCCCCTACAGACTGAAGTCGACCCACTCTGAAAACCACTGGACCCCAATTCTCAATGCCATGTCTTGAACAACCTTGAGCCCATCCCCCCAAACTTGAAATCCCAAACCTGTTCTGAACTTAAGTACCTAAAATCCAATCCCAACATGAAAACGGAGCCTTCCTTAGAATCAAGCCCCATCCTAAACCCAATCCCAGTGACAAATCTGATCTGATGTAACTTTAGATCTAACTCTGACCCAAACCCATCACCTAGCCCCCGTCACTATGAAGAATCCAACCCCCAACCCCATTCCCCTAATCCCAGGCCTGGGATCCACTATGGCCACATACAGACAATTTCCAAAGTAAGGCTCAATCCCAACTCAACCTTAGACCCCCAGTCTCTACCTGAAACAGAACCCCACCCCAGCCCCAACAAAGATCAGCATCCACACAACCTCTGTTCTAGATGTAGCTTTGAGCCCCACCCAACCCCAATGTATCTCCATCCTAACCCAGGGTCACCTAATCTTGCACCTCAAATATATCTCAATGCCAGCCCAACTCATCTCCCTACCAGCCATCCTAAATCCAACACAACTTCCACTCCAAACCCATGGTCAATACCCCTCCTCATGCCCATGAAATCCTAAATCCGCTCTTGGCTCCAAACTTCTAATCAGCTCTAGACCCACAAGCTACCTGCACCCACCTGAGTCTCAATTTCAACTTCAGTTCCTCAACCTAATCCCATCCTAGATTCACTCCTCATCCAACCTTAGGCCCTGCAGCCCCTGACCCAACTCTTAACCTTTTCTCATAACCTAAACTCCAAACAATCCCATTTCTAAGACTAATGAGATGGAACCCAAACCTTAGTCCAAACCAACTCTAGACGTGGCCGTCACTAAGAACTCATTGTGACCCAACTCTAAACACCAATCACACATCATATCAAGCCTTTCGCTAGGCCTGCCTTAACCCTCACTATAACCCTTAACCCATTGCCCCTGATCCTTCAGCTCAACAATTCCCAACCCTGACACCAAGCCTCAATGAATTCCTATTCTTCACCCTAAACTAATTTGGAGGCCCATCCAGCTGCCCAAATGCAACCCCAATCCTTAACCCTTTCTCAGTAATCCTCAATTTCAAACTCTACCCCAATCCTAATGCCAATAAAATCCTACATGAATAAATACATACCGGTAGTCACAATCTTTAAACCACCTCTAGACTCAACAGCCATCTATGTGGGACCCTACCCTAAATTCTCAGTCCACCCTCAGTGCTTCAGCTCAGCCTGATCATAAAGCCACAGACGTCCTAGATTTACCCATCCATGAACCTTGGGCCCTACAGCCACCCTACCTCCAACCCCAGTCTTAAGCCTCCATGCTTCCTTAGTGTTGATCCTATTTGAGACTCGGTCCCTATCCTAATGTCAGTGAAACTCTCCAGTGAGTCCTAACTAACCCAAACTCAAACAGACTTCACAACCAAGTTTCACACCACCACCAGTGCCGTCTGATCCAGAACCGTCAGCCCACCTTGGTCTTTATGCAGGTTTCCAGGGCGGAGTTGCTGACAGCCAGCTGCATCTTGAGGTGCTCGGCCTCCCGCTTCCTCTCCTCCAGCTCCTTGGCCAGGTTGTCACGCTCTTTCCGCAGCGCTGCCTTCTCCTCCAGCGCTAGCTGGGTCTGCTTGGCACACTCGGCCTGGAGCTTGGCCTCCCGGGCCTGGGCTTCCTTCTCTACCTTCTCCTTGGCCTCCTGAAGGGCCCGCAGGCTCTGCGCAGCCTCCAGCTTCTGGCGCTGGAGTTCTGAGTTCTCTTGGGCCACACGCTGGATGTCAATCCGCAGGCTCTGGGCCAGCTCCTCCGCCTTGGTGGTCATGAGGGTAGGCATGTGGTCGCAGATTCTCCGTATGGAGGCCACTTCGGAGCCGATGGCATGGTACGGGCTGTAGCTCAGCGTTTCGAGGGTGCGCGGGACGATGGAGTCCCTCCAGATGTTGCGCAGGTCCACTGCGAGCTTGTCCTTGTCCAGGGGCAGGCAGAGGGCCTCCACCTTCTTCAGCTGGCTCTGGGCCAGCTGTTGCTCCTGCCGCTGCTGCTCCTGGGCCTTGTTGCATTCCGCCAGTTGCTCCTCCACCACCCGCTTGCTCAGCCCCACGCCCTCCTTGTCCCTGGTGCACACCGCCTTCTCCTTGGCCAACTCCACCTCTAGCAGCTTGGTCTTCTGGTTCAGAGTGAGGAGCAAGGCTGCAGGCACAGGAGGATAGGGCTCAGGGAAGCTGGGGGGCTGCCAAGGGGAGCTGGACGGGGAGGCCGCCACCCTGGCTCCCCGCTGCCCAGAGCACGCACTCACCGTTGCAGCTCTTGTTAGTCTCCTTGAGTTGTTCTTGGCATTGTTTCTCGCTCAGGATGATGGCGGCCATGTACTTCTGGTTGTTCATGTAGCCCGTCTGCCCGGAGAGGACACAGGACAGGCCTCAGAGGGGCCCGTGGGCCCCCTGACCCCGAGACTGCCCAGACCCCCAGGGCTGAGGCCCCCGATCCAGCACCCAGGGGGCCCCGTTTGCCCCAGTTCCTGAGGGCATGGCCTCTTTAGGGGGAAAGCTGGTCTGATCTTTGAAAGCTGTTATGATGATTACCCTGGCCAGTGTCCTCAGTGGGAGCAGTGGCTCTCGACCTTCCTACTGCCATGACCCTTTCATACAGCTCCCCATGTGGTGGTGACCCCCAACTATAAAATTATTTCCGTTGCTACTTCATAACTGTAACTTTGCTGGTTTTATGAATTGTAATGTACATTATCTGTGTTTTCCGATGGTCTTAGGCTCTACAGCAGCGGTTCTCAACCTGTGGGTCGCCTTGTGGATTTGCTTATTCTACACATTTTATCTCAACAGAATCAGACACTACGTGGCCTTTTGTGACTCACTTCCGTCCCTCGGCATCCTGTTTTCGGCAACCTGTCGTGACCCACAGGTTGAGAACCGCTGGCAGGGTCGCCTAAGATCATCGGGAAACACAGATATTTGCATTACGATTCATTAACAGCAGCAACATGACAGTTATGAAGTAGCAACAAAAATAATGTAATGGTTGGGGGTCACCACAGCATGAGGAACTGTATTGAAGGGCCCAGGCAGCAGAAAGGTTGAGAACCACTGGGTTAGAACCACAACGGTCAGCCTGGGAACCGAAGGGTTATAGGTTTGATCCCCAGCCCTGTTCGGGGCCAGTGTGCCAGGAAACCAGTGGATGTTTCTCTCTCTCCCCCATCCTCTCGCCCTTCTACTCTAAAAAGCAATGGAAAAAATACCCTCAGGTGAGGATTTTAAAAATGTGTCATAATAAAAAAAAAAAAGTGTTATGATTAATACAATTTGGCAATAAAAAATATGGAGGCAGTGACACATGCTCCAGTCTGGACGGACCTTGACAACATGATCCTGAGCGACGGAAGTGAGTCACAAGAGGCCACATGGTGCCTGATTCTATTGAGATAAAATGTGTAGGATAAGCATGGCTCCCAGGGGCGGCGGAGAAGGAGGGATGTGGAGTGTGTCCTTTTAGGGTGACGGGAAACATTCTAAAGTTATCTGTGAGGACGGCTGCACAGCTCCGTGAATGTGCTAAAAAGCATCGAACTGTGCCCTTTAAACGGGCCAGCTACACGGCACGCGAATTAAACTTTTACGATTCCACAGAGGCCATGCCTTCCGAACTCTGGAACAAAGCCCTCCGCAGAAATATAACAAGTGAAGAAAGATACGAAGAGGGCAGAGTCTTCCTGCCATCTCTGGTCTGACTCCTTGTCCTTGGGAAGTCCGGCCGGTGCGAATGCCCTGGGGCTAAGGGAGCACAGAAATAGCTCGGACACTTCCGGTGGCTCTGCTTTCCAAAGCCTTAGCCGCCGTCTGGCCGGTGTGGCTCAGTTGGTTGAGATCCTCCGGTGCACCAAGAGGTCGCGGTTGGACTCCCGGGCAGGGCACAGGTCCTGGTTTTGGGCTCGATCCCCCGCAGGGGGCGTGCAGGAGGCAGCCCATGAAGGGTTCTCCTCATTGATGCTCCTGTCCCTCTTCCTTTCTCTCTGAAATCAATGCAAGCACATCTGTTTTAAATATCTTTATTGATTTCAGAGAGGAAGGGAGAAGGGAAGAGAGAGAGAAGCAATCCATGATGAGAGAATCACCGACTGGCCGCCTCCTGCAGGTCCCCCACTGGGGATGGAGGCTGCAACCCAGGCCTGTGCCCTTGACTGGAATCGAACCCGGGACCCTTCAGTCCACAGACTGACGCTCTATCCACTGAGCCAAACCAGCTAAGGCCAAACATATATATTTTTAAAAGCCTTAGCCTCAGAAGGGGGACATGAGTGGGATCCAAACATGAAGTGAGACAGGGGTATTTCCAGTTAGGACCAGTGTCAGCACAGGTGGGGGTGGGGCAGCGAGGGGCTTTATCTGAGCTGTTCTTAGAAAAGCCTTGAGAGATAAGGATTTGACCTTTTAAAAATCACTCCATTCCATTTTCCTGTCTCTCCCAGGGACCCAGGACAAGAAATGCAGTTGCATTTCCAGAAAATTTAAGAAAAATCATGTTTCTTGGCACTGCCAGAACTGGGGAAAGACCAAGATTCACATCCGCTCCCATCAGACACGGGGGTGGGGTGGGGTGGGGGTGGGGGGCTGCTGGAGCGGGGCCAGGTGGGTCTCGGGGCTCCCCCACGACCATCAGCACCCCCTTCTGGGGGGTGGGGGGGTGGGAACCAGGATCCCCTCAAGACCCTGGTCGGCAAACCTCGGCTCTCGAGCCACACACGGCTCTTTGGCCCCTCGAGTGTGGCTCTTCCACAAAATACCACGGCCTGGGCGAGTCTGTTTTGAAGACGTGGCGTTAGAAGTTTAAGTTTAAAGAATCTGGCTCTCCAGAGAAATTTCAGTCGCTGTCCTGTTGACATTTGCCTCTGTGGACCGATGAGTTTGCCAACGACTGCCTCAAGAGACACCCCTGAGGGGTTCAAGCCTAGAGGAATTTGTCAGCTCAAAGAGGGTGGGGGGTGGGGGGGAGCATGACTTTCCAACGTGAAAGTTGTGAAGGTCTAGATTCTCAGCTTTCTCATCTACAACAGGGAGTCAGGACGCCGGTGAGCGTGAGCGTCTAACACTTTGTGATCCGATTCCTCCCCAGTGGCTCCTGTGTGGGATGTGCCATGTGACCCGAACTGGCTGGTTCCCAGAAAGTGAGCCCCCCCTTCGCCCCCAGGCTGGCTGGGGGGGGGGGCGGTGTCAGGGAGTCACAGCTCTGCCCTGAGCTCTGGGGAGGGATGCAGCCCATGCTGAGGGTCCGAAGGGGACCCGCCCTGCTTTGGGGCTTGAGGCGGGACCTGCCCCCATTCCAAAGGTCACTGGAGACCCGTCCTTCCCTGGGGGCTGAGGGGAGACCCTCCTGCTCTGGAGCCTGAGGGGGACCAGCCTGCTCTCAGGGCCCGAGGGGGACCGGCCCCATTTGGGGGTTTAAAGAAGACGTGCCCTGCCCTGGGTCTGAGGGCAGACAAGGCCCTTTGTCCCCACCAGCCTCTCTCCCAGTCCCAGGAACTAAGACCTCCGCAGACAAAGAGCGTGTGTGGCATGTGTGCGCGTGTGTGTGTGTGTGTGTGTGTGTGTGTATGTGCATGTGCGTGCGTGTGTGCGTGTGTGCGTGTGTGCGCGTGTGTGTGCGTGCACGCGCGTGTGAACACAGGGTGGCCCAGCGGGTTTGGCATAAGTGCCAGGGGGTAACAGTCTCCATGAGACCCTCACGTGTGCCTCTGTGACTTTCTCCTGGGAGCCCCCTGCTTCTCAAGCCCCCACCTCCCCACCTGCAAAAGGGTTTGGGGTTTCTCCCTTCCTCTTGGGCTTCTGTAATGAGAGACTATTTCTCCAGCGGAGCCAGCCTAAGGCAAAGGCCAGCTGTCCGCACTTAATGCTAAGAAAGAGCCACAGGTCCTGAGTTTTTATCTAGCCAGTTCTGCCTGCAGTGCATCTGCAGCCGGCACGTTCTGAGCCTTTTATTGCATTAAGTCACGGGCCCAGGGCTGGTGCTGTTACACGAATACTTGTTTTTAGGTTAAGTATACCCAAACCATTGCATGGGATGTACTTACACAAACAAAACGCGCATTGGTGACCTGTTAGGGCTCCTCATGCAAAAGGAAGGGTCTGGCGCTGGCCAGGGTTCTCAGTGGTTAGAGCATGGGCCCCGCACACCAAAGGGTCTCGGGTTCGATTCCCAGTTAAGGGCACATCCCTGGGTTGCATTCACCCCTAAACTCAGTCAGGATGCCTCTCTCTCTCTCTCTCTCTCTCCCTCCCTCCTACTCTCTCTGAAAAGCAAGGGAAACCATATCCTCAGGTGAGGATTCAATGGAAAAAGTAAGGCCTGCGGCCCCCCATTCCGTGGCTGGGGAAACGACGCTCGGAGGGGTGAGGTGCCTTCCCGGGGTCACCGGGGCCGGCGAGGGGCCCCGCCTTACCCGGTCGGTGTGGCACTGGCGGAAGCTGGCATTGATCCGGTCCAGGTCCCGGCGGGTGCCCAGCAGCATCTGCATGATGGCTTCCTTGGCGCGGGTGGTGAGGTTGAGCTCCTTGGTCAGGTTGGCCTGGGAGGCCGAGAGCCCCACCACCTGGCTGTACAGGCCCTCGGCCCGGCGCTCGGTGTCCCGCAGGTTGGACTCGGTGGCCACGTGCACGTTGCCGTAGACCATGAAGAGCACCAGGCCCAGGATGATGAGGAACTGGATGAGCGAGACGAAGAGGAAGAAGTAGCGCAGGTAATACCAGCAGCCGCGCGAGCCGCCCCCCGCCCGGGCGTAGGCCCCTCCGTGCTCCGCGGCCAGGCCCATCTCCCGCCAGGGGTGCCGCCCGCCTGTGCCCTGGTGCTGCTGCTGGCTGGGCCACTCCGGGTGGTGGCGTGCCCCTTCTGGGAGTGTTTATATTGCTCCTCTTAATACTTCCTCCGCTGGCTCCTTCCTGGCCAGGAGGAAACGGGAGCCTTGGGTTATCTCAACACTCCCACCCGGCCGTGAAGGGAAGGGGGGGGGGGCGGGGGCAGGGACCAGGCCCTGGCTGGCCTTTCTGGGTGGGGCGCCAGGCGACCGGGCGCTCTCTGAGCCTCAGTTTCTCGGCCAGCCCCCGCCCTGTGCCGGGCGCTGTTCTCAGCACTCGCAGCAGCTGAAGGCGCCCAGGTCCTCGCCTGCACCGTGAGGAGGAGGGAAGCGGTGAGAGGCTGCCCTGGGTCTCCAGCTATGGGTCCCCGGAGCTGGGCTTCCCCCCCCCTCAGGTGGGTGCCCACCTCCCAGGGCAGTGCCAAGTGCGTGAGCTAAACTGTGCGGAGTGCTCAGCTCACAGAGGGAGGGCAGAGGGTGGGTGGCGGCGGCTGCCTGACCCCAAGAACTGTCATCCCACCAACCCGGCTCACGCAGGAGCTTAAGAAGGTGCTCCCTGCCCTAGCCGGTGGTGCTCAATGGATAGAGCGTTGGTCTGGGGACTCAAGGGTCCCAGGTTCGATTCCGGTCAAGGGCATGTACTTGGTTGCAGGCACATCCCCAATGGGGGGTGTGCAGGAGGCAGCTGATGGATGCTTCTCTCTCATAGATGTTTCTGACTCTGTCTCTTCCTTTCTGTAAAAAATCATTAAAATATAAAGAAAGAAAGAAAGAAAAGAAAAAAAAGAAGTTGCTCCGGGATTAGCAGCAGGAGCAGCAATGATGTTGGGGCGTGAAGAGCCGGCGTGGCTGTGTGGGTTCGAGGGAGGGGCTTCTCCAGTCTGAGCCTCAGCTTCCCCCGCTGTGAGGTGTGTGTGCGTGATGCCCACTCACAGGCTGGCTGGGAAGCTGCTGCTGTTACTACCATTTCCGGCTGGAAGCATTCTTTTGGGGCTCCGTGAGACGAGGCGCCCGATGGGTGGGAGCTGAGCTTCATTGGGGTCACCCCCAGGTGGATAGGCAGGAGATTTGGAACCGAGGAGCAAAGAGTTCTGAGTGGGCCCTCCTGCCTGTCACCCCAGAGCCAGGAGTTCCAGGGAAACCTCCGTGCTGGGCGATGCCAGAGCCCCCAAGTGGCATCCGCCCCAGCCCCAGCCCCAGCCCCAGCCCCAGCCCCAGCCCCAGCCGGGAGGGGCCCTCAGGCTTGAGGAGACTGAGTGGGACACAGCCCCCAGCCCCAAGGGGTCATGGGGGCTGAGGCGTAAGGGACAAGGAGATGGGATTGGTGTCCATTGCCTGGTGGGGAGCACAGCTGGGTACAGGCTGCTGCAGGGGGACCCATCCCCCCGTTGGCCACCGTGATGGAGTGGGG